AGATTAAATCTGGTTTTGTGGGGTTTGGTTGATGATTATATCTTGCTGGAAAACTTGATAACTATAGCCCATACCTGACATGCATAAGGAACCTCATTGCGATACTGCATGAATATCTTTTCTCTGATAATTTCAGCTACAAAGAACCTTTCCGGGTGTTCACTTACAATGTCCTGGCAACGTATAAAAAATAAACACTGTTCATAAGAAAGAAGCAGTTCATTTTTCAAGTCCCACCAAAAGTTGATCGAAAATTTCCTTCTGGAGGAAAATTGTGCAACAATTGGCATGAAGCCAAATAAAATCCTAGATTATTGACAAAAGTGCAACTTTAATATCATATCTTATCCACAATATTATACGAGTTACAAGCTCAAGAAATGAAAGCGCTTTCCAACTATGTTCGTGATATGTTTGCATCAAGGAAACAGCAGAACTGTAACCTAGCAGCACTTGACTCTGGGTAAATTTACAGTCAACTAAGTTCAATGTTAAGCTAAACAAAGAAATCTATGTCAATTGATGTTGCTTGCTTTGAATTGGATAAAGCTTCATATCATATCATAATTTTCCTTTTAATAATAGATAAATTCAAATATTTTGGTAAGTTTAAGGCAACATTCCTGAATTGATAACAAGAATTACCACCATTTTCCATTCTTGAAGATAAGCTGGTAAGGAATACAAATAGATAAATCTGTTGAGTTTCTTCATACCTTTGGATAGTAAGGTGGCCCGGTTGGAAGTTTTGACAGTATCCAATCCTTGATATCATCTACCCCATGTCCATGCTTTGCACTCACAGGTATGACCTCATCGACATCAGTAAATTTCTCATACCACTGCAAGGCATAGTATTTCTATTTAGGAAACCAACCTTGAAGGCAAAGACCAATTTACAGAGCTACTAATGTTAAAATACAGGACATAGGGGAATGAACTTAACAATTTGAGAGTGAAAGTTGAACTCACATGCTAGGTGGTGATAACAATATGTTGGAGACACTGCACCAAATATTTTAAGAGAACACCTTCGAAAAACATTGGTTAAGGGTCTAAGCAACATTTAAAACAGCGTTGGACTATTCATATCTGCTTTGTTTCTTCTTCTTTTCTTTTTTTTCATTTAATGCACCATAAATCCACATACACACCCACCCAAAAAAAATAGAATGCAATGACAAGAAAATCTAATTTGATAATTGTCAATATTGAAAGAATGAAAACCTTAATATTTAAGAATGTTAATGCATATTACATGGTAGTTAAATTACAAGGAACATAGCCTTTTGAGACAAGGTAAAGAAAATACCCTAGACATTGCAAGGAAAATTGGCCAATACAACCATGGCTTTTAGTCTTATTGTAGGCCTGCCAGCAGGCAGTTAACATAAAAGTTCGTTCAGAAACAAAGATGAGGTCAAAAACATTTACAATGCGATAAATCAATTGGCAACATAAGAGCATTTCTGTACCCATTTCTCAAAAAACCCACTAGTGAAACTGACAAATACACATCTTAAATTTAAAGAACGTAAACATGAGAGCACACACAAAACTCAACAGGTTCTTACCTCAAGCTTTTTTGCTATTTCACAAGGTTTTATCAAATCTTTCTTATTCAAAACCAGTAGAGTGGGCAGTGTACACTTGACATCTCCTAGGCCTTCTTCTAACACATCATCGATCTTGACATAAGAAACTGAACTTAGAAAAAGGGTGGAATGTTTAACAAAGAATGTATAAACCATGAAGCATACATTTTCAGGCACTTTACATGCATCAACAAGAACAAGTACACAGTCAGCATTTAAGGCAGCACTTCGGACATTCTTCATCATCATAGAATCCAACTTGTGCATTTTCTTCTTCATAACACCTGGAGTGTCATACAATATCATCTGCAAGTAAAGCTTCGGACCGTACGAATTAGAAATGGAACATGAATTCCCTAAGTCGTCAAGGAACTAGACACAAATTGCTAAAATACCAAAAAGATGAGCAAAAGCATGGGAAAGAATAGATATAAAAAAGAAACTAATCTTCAAACCTGATGCTCTGGGCCTGAACATATACCAAGAACTCGATGCCTGGTGGTTTGAGGTTTATCCGTAACTATAGATAGCTTTTGACCAATCATTTGATTAGCAAGTGTGCTCTTTCCAACATTGGGCTTCCCCAGAACAGCCACATACCCTGCATTTGGCACACCATCAAGATATGAAACAACTATAGACAAAGTATTCTTTGACGAGTTCTTTCAACAAAAGGAGTTCAGCTCAATCTGTAAAAACTCAAATTGTTCTCTGTCTCACCATCTTCTACAATATATTTTACAAAATAACAAAAAGCAAGATTTTACTTTAGTATCTACAAGTGTTAAGTGCTTACCGTATTAATAAATTATGATTAAAAAAAGAGGCATTGAGCATGATATCATTCGTTGATTTTTGAAAGACTTAACAACCAAAAACAGAGAATTAAATAACAGAAAAAGGGAGCAATAAGCTAAGGTTACGAACCGCTGCGATGGTTAGTGGGAGAGGAAAAATCAAGCTCTTCCAACTCGTAATCGTCAAGCAAAGCCATGTTCCTATCTGGCTTTTCACTCAAAGACAAAAAAGACGAATCGATACCACTTATTTCTTCTGCTAGCTCTTGCGAATCTTCAATGAGACTATCTCTTTCAAGTACTTGTTGGATTAAATCTAGCCTTGAAATCGTGTTTGGATTCCAGCTCCGGGAACCAGCTTTTCGAGCTTGGAATCGGAACCGTGATTTTTGGTGGCGATTTCGAACGTTGTGAGGGAAAACAGAAGGCTTGCTATCTCTGGCCGTTAAGAAACACTCTGCGGTTAACGCCGGAGAAATGTTCAGAGCTATTAACTCCATTACCACCGTCCGTTTCGTGGCTTGTTGATAAGCAGCTTCACTTAAACTGGTTCAACATTTTCGCGATTTCGGGCAATTGGATAATTCTTTATTTTTTATTTATATTAATTTATCGTTTGATCCAGGTCCGCATAAATTAAACGCAGCGTTTTGAACATACCATTTTAAACTTTAAAACTTTTTGCTTTACTTTATTTCCAGATTCTTTATTAAAATAAGGTTGCGGTAAATTAAAACAACATAAATTATTATAATTTAGGTTTAATGATATTTAAGGATATGTTTAGTTCACTGAATGTAAGATTACTAGTGAGAATGTAAGATTATCATGTAATAGAATTACTGAGAATGTTGTATTTTGTGTTTGGTTGGTTTAGTAGAAATTTAAGATTATCGTGTTTGGTTGATTTAGTAGGAATTTAAGATTATCGTGTTTGGTTCAAGGAATAAAATATTTATATAATATATATTTAACCAAATTGTCCTTATTATATATATTTTTTAACAAGTTAGAAAATATTTATATATTTTCTTTAAAAAAAATTAAATTCATAAAATTTATATATTTTTATACAAAATTAAAAATATAAAAAGGTTTAATGAAAGGGCACAATTTTATTTTAACCCCTGAACTTAATATAAAATTTTAATTATAATTTTTTTTTTGTAAATCTAAAATAGTTTAAGGATAAATTTATAATTTAACCTTCGTAGAATTTTTATTATTCAATGATAGGAGAATGATATTTTTGAAGAAAAAAATTAAGGGCATTTTAGTCCAAAACGCCGGTAATCCAACAATATCTAAGGAAATAAAGGTAATGACATTCCTGGTAATATACCCAAAAAAATATACTATTGATAATCTTACATTACCGGGAAATGAGATTCCCGGCTAACCAAACGGAGGAATATGGATTCTATTCCCATGAAAATCTCACATTCCCTCATCCAAACGTCCCCTAAGAGTTTAAACGTTTTGGGGAGCTTGTTTCACGGAAAGTATTATTTCAAAGAGGAGTAATTTTTTTAAAATTGCATTCCCGTTTGGTTCACGGAAAAATTATTATCATAGAATATTCTTTTCATAATTATAATATTCTTTTGGTTAAAATTGTAGGAATGTCATTACCTCCAATTTCTTATGTATTACACAATTCTCATCACTTTGAACAAAAATACCCTTAAACTAATGAATTCTTTTTATAATGATCTTTCTCAATTATTTTTTTTTGTGTTTTACTCAAAATTATAAACATTTTAATAATATACAAAGAGTTTGATTTACTAAAATATTAATAAATTTAAGAATTTAAAAATATTTTATATTTTTAATATTCAATATATTAATTATTTATAATTTATGAGATGAGAAAAATAATAGTATTGTAAAAATGTAATTATTTAAAATAATATTTAACTTTTAGTTATTAAAAAATGAATCTTACATATTGGAAAACAATATATTTGTTCACTCAATATCATAATATTATTTTTTTCATATTATACTATATTTTATATAAATAAATATGATACTTATAAAACTATTTAAAAATGTAAGTTTAATATACTAATAATATTAATTGTATATTAAATCTATTTTTTTCTCGAAAGTTAGATAATGTTTAAAATAATTTTTATGAATTTTCATTCAAATATTTATAATTTAATATTAAAGTTTAACTTTTAAAAAACATATATCACATGGATAACTTGATAAAATATGCATCCAAGTGATCTTATATTCCTCCAACCAAACATTGTAATCTTACATTATTGCTAAACAAACCAAACTCCCCCTTAGAGTAAAGTATATAAATGATCCCTTAATTATATAATATTGTTTTGTTGAATATTTCGACCGTTAAAAGTTATAAAATGATTCTCCTACTATTAGGAGTTGCTTTGTTGAGTCTCTCGACTATTAAAAATTACAAAATTGTCATTCGACTATTCATTATATTACAAAGTCGTCATTTCCCATAAATTTAAAATAATACTATAACATATAAAATATTAAAACAATCCTTTTTCCTTTCCCATAATTCATTGCAACTCAAACTGCATAACTAAAACATTGAACCTTAATTCATTACAATTGGAGTATAAAAACAATTAGAAGTTTACAATCTTTTCCCTTAAATTTTGTTCCTCAAGATATGGCCTGCAATTTTTGCAGAAGATGCATACTTTTTACACACATGCATACATATATATGTAAGCAGAAGATACAGTTTTATACACAAACATGGTCTTTGTTGAACTTTGAGAAACTTTTTCAACATTTAACAAAGTGGCAAATCCTTGGGTGGAGGAAGAACTGATTGATCAGCTCCCTTTCCATCTTCAACCACAAATGCCATTTTCAATCCCCACCCAGTATGGAGCTCCAAATGACAATGCATAAACCAAACACCTAAACCGGGAAAATTCAATGAAATTAAAAAACATAGTAATCAAATTCAAGTTTTTCTGTATAAGACAAGTTGAGTTTATTACCTGGATTGTCTGCTCTAAACCGAATAGCGGTCCATCCCCCGGTCGGAACACCGACGGTGTTCCTTTCAACAGGATCGACCAAGTTGTACTTAGCTGGATCTTTGACAGGATCAAAGTTTCCGATACCAGTTCCTACGATGAAGAAGTTATAACCGTGGAGATGGAACGGATGTGACTCGACCGTAAGGAGATTAGTGTCTTGAAGCACTAGCTCAACTGTAGAATTGAAGGCAATCTTGCTAAGCCTTGTCCCATGTGCAGTGCCAAGATTGGCTGTTAAGGGTGCACCAGTATAGTTGAATGGCTTAAGAGGTTTATCAGGGAAATCAGTTGTAAAAACCCCACTAATATTGAAGTAATGAGCTTGGAGAAGACCAATTTTAGGCATCACAAAGGAAATATTGTTCAACGAGGCTAAGATTCTCGTTCCGTTAACGCATGTCGGGCAAGGATCTTTGCCGAAACTGACCATGTAGAACAGTTTTCGGTCGACTTTAAGGGGCACATTTGCTGGAAAATTTGCAGAGTTCAAGCTTTTGAGATTTTTGTTGTAACCCAAAGCGAAATCTGTGTCGTTGGGAGGTGGTAATTGAGGAAGTGTAGGAAGAACAGTGTTTGGGATTCCTTTGTATTGGAATATCCCTGTAGCTGTTTTTTTGTCTACAGGAAGTGGAGCATCCATGAAAGGCCTAGCAGCCATGAAATATCTGCCCGGGGATCGATCAGCTCGAACGAGAACGTTGGTGGTTTGCCCTGGTGCAATTAGTATTGCCTGAGTGACGAACGACTTCGTATAAACCGCATCGACCTCAACTACCGTCATGCTGTGACCAGCTATTGCGAAGAAAAGCTCGTCATTGAGGGCAGCATTGACGATTCTCAGCAAGTACGTTTTCCCGGATTCGACTTCCATTGCAAATGTATCTGAAAATCGAAAACATTCAGGATTGAACAATGAGCGTTGCAAGTGAAAACTTGTTTTTCGACAAAAGTTTCGGCTTACGCTTCTCAGAACATGGAAAAAGAGGTCCCGGTTTGCCATTGATAGTGTGTGCATCCGACATATTTGGTGGCAATCCCATGTTAGTTCCTTGCTTGACAATCTCTTCAACATCTTTGTGCCACCATTCCCCTGCACCATTAACACAGTTTTCACCATCATATCATCATAATCACAAGAAACTAGTAAAAACCAATCTGAAAACATCGACTCTGGAACCGACCTAATACAACAATTTGTTCCATATTTGGCTTCAGGAACGGAAATGGCGTTCCTGGTTTCGGCATGATGACAATGGCTCCATACACTGTAGCCCTTAGCCAAAGAATGTGTGCATGCCACCATAAAGTTCCTCTTTGCCCTGTTACATTGAAGTCGTAAGCGTAGCTATTCCCAGTCTGAATCGGACACTGCGTTATGTAAGCCGGTCCATCCGCCCAACCGTTTCGATATTGCTTCAATCCATGCCTAAACAGATCATCAGAACAACACATTATAAGAAACTTAGTTTCAACTTTTTTATTTCTGCACATAGTTCATCAAAATCCTACCAGTGAATCGACATGTTATATTTTGCATGGTTTGTAACATTGACAATAACTCTATCTCCCTCTTGAGCATAGATTGTAGGCCCTGGAAACCTCCCATTTGCGGTCACAATCGGCTTCGCATGGCACAGTCTGCTAACATTCTTCACTCGAATCTGTTCATTAAACACGTCATTTCAATTCGAAACCACGAGAACTTAAACAAACGAAACGTTCATTTCTGAGTTTACTCACATCAAACTGGTACTTCCTCACAGCAGCTTCTGCAGGCAGGGTAACGAATGCGATGAAACCTACGAGAAAAAGGGTCGTTTTGGAAACCAAAAACCCATTGATAGCCATTTGAGCTGAGCTAAAACTTCGAAATTCTCGATGCTTGTTTGGATACGAGACATGAAGGTTGAAGCATATGAGCTACTTATATAAGCTTTAAAAACAGGGCGAATTATAACAATTTGTTAAGAACAAGAGAATGAAGATGATTAGGTAAAAAATTGCAAAGGAGTCTTAGATATGTCAAAGCTTGTAAGCAAAATACTGAAAGAGACTTCAGTCGCCATTGACAGGCGTAGAGGTTGAGATTGTGATGCCATGAAGCAAAATATTGAAACAAACGTCCCATATCCGATTTGATCTTAAAATAATTCAAATCTTCGGGATTGAAAAGTACCAACCTACCTAATCCTTCATATAATACCAAGCTTTTCCGCCAAGGAAAAGGCACTTTTTTAACCTCATATTGTAGCCAAGTGAAAATCAGGTATAATGAAGGAGCTAATTTGTGAATTAATCCATTTTACCATGGTTGGTAGATTAAAGAACTAAAATCAGAAAGGCTTACCTCCAAGCATTTTGTAGCTGTTCATTGTAAGTATGAGTTTGCTTATTTCAGGGCACATGTGGTTTGCAGAGAAACTTTGTATTGCTTGTTACCAAACAATCTTCCTTTTCAATCTTGTTCGTGCATATATATCCGATATTAGGGTGGATGGTGTTAATCCGATATTTCAACCCACGCTAATATAAAGTAGTATTTGTTTATAATATTTCTTAACTATTGACAATATACATACCCTACAGACGCTGTTTATAATCTTTATTAACTATTGATAATTCACATACACCCTACAAACACAACTATTCGAACCTAGAATATATAAAAAAAACAGTCGCTTTAATTACTAAAGTCGCTCGATGAATTCAACCCGCAATTTGTTATTTATTATGGGCGAGGCGTTTGTCATTTGACTCAAGATGTCAGCTAAAGGAAGAGGATCCTTCATTATCCTAATAAATTCAACATGTTTCCACATGAATCACATCAAACCGTCAACCCCTGCGCAAAATCACAAGCATGAATCAATTACACGGCAACTTAGAGTGAAAGGGGAAGAGCTGGTTAGGGGTTAATGACAATTGGGCATGGATATCAAGGGAATGGGGTGTCTCGCCTTATCAAAAATAAAGCTAACTCAATTTTTACACACAAAATGAGGAGCTTCAACCCTTGATTTGTCCCCTTCCATTAATATTTCATGGAGCTGGTTAGAAATTGCTTTCCACCAAAAACAATGAAAATGGGATTTCACCACCTTTATGGTAGTTATGTTGTGTGATAATCTAATTTAAAATTAATTTAATATGATTTTCAACATAAAATATTATCTTGTTTAAATTAAAAAGTTATGCAATTTTGTAATATTTTTCCATAATTAAAAAGTTATATTGCATGAAGTTTAAAATTTATAACTAAAAATATTATTAAAAATATAACATTTTCAGTTGTAATCGAAAATATTACGAAAAAAAATAATATTTTCAGTTTTAATATAAAATATTATTTTATCAAAACTAAAAAATTACGTTTTCAATAAAAGTTTCAATTACAATTAAAATTTATTGTTTTTTAATCATATATTAACGAATTGTATTTAGAATTTCTACGTTCACCTCAAGTTTGGCTCTGGCGGCCAGGGCCATACTAGACTAGACCATTGTCTGGAATTGCCTAACAGGTTCAATAAACGCCACACATTTTCCATTGTTTTAAGATTACTTGAGGACAAGGTTTAAAATTATTTTGGATTTTAACTATTCTTTTTATATCTTGTGATAAATCTTTATCGATGAGATAATGTTATGGTATGATATAATAATATTTTAACTTTTAAATTTTATTATTTTGATTTTATTTTGAAGTAATTTAATTCATTATATTTAAAAATATTGTTATTTTAATATGTATTCTTCACCTAAATTGATTATTCTTTTGTCATAAATGTTATATTATTATTATTATGTCATTTCTTGGGTATAACAACAATTTAACAGTAGTTTGTTATTGTTTTATGAAAAAATTCAGTTATCTAACTAATTTGATTTTATACTCTCGTTTGGTTTGTCAGTATCGTAATAAAAGATAAAATTGATAGAATTTTTAAATATGAAGATTAAATTTATTGAATTATTTTGAATTAAGACATAATTGATAAAATGTATAGATTTTGGAAATTAAAAATATTATTATATAAAGATACATTAGACGCCCGTTTTAATTTTAATAACGAGATGACATGTTTATATCAGTATTTTAATTGAGTTATTTTTTTTATATTTTTTCTAAAATGATTTGTTTGTTACTAAACACATAATTCAGTGACCTTGATTGTAGTTTACCCTTTTGTAAAATTGGTAAATAAAAGGAGAAATTGATTTGAAAGGCAGATGTTCCAAATCCATCAAATGCTGATCAGATGGTTAGGAAAAGACGTATCTCCCGAAACACTTGATTTGCTGATTGCCACGTGTGTTAGTAATCACGCATTTTTTTTAACTCACAAAAATCATTAGTGCTGGTGATAAGACCCAAATATCATCCTAAGAGCGGGTGATTGGCTGTTAGAATGCCGGCGCTGACGGCGGTTGAGGCGGTGGCGTAGAGGTTACTATTGACGTGGACATTTAAGATTCCCACTCATAAAAATAGAAGTTGGCATTTTTTTCTCACCAAAAAGACATTTTTATTATTTTCTTTAACTGTTAACTGATTTTTCATATTAGTTTGTGGTATTGATTAAACCGTGTGTCGTTTGGGGATGAATCTGAGCTGGTTGTTTGTGCATGCCACCATAAAGTTCCTCTTTGCCCTGTTACATTGAAGTCGTAAGCGTAGCTATTCCCAGTCTGAATCGGACACTGCGTTATGTAAGCCGGTCCATCCGCCCAACCGTTTCGATATTGCTTCAAAGTTCAATCCATGCCTAAACAGATCATCAGAACAACACATTATAAGAAACTTCGTTTCAACTTTTTTATTTCTGCACGTAGTTCATCAAAATCCTACCAGTGAATCGACATGTTATATTTTGCATGGTTTGTAACATTGACAATAACTCTATCTCCCTCTTGAGCATAGATTGTAGGCCCTGGAAACCTCCCATTTGCGGTCACAATCGGCTTCGCATGGCACAGTCTGCTAACATTCTTCACTCGAATCTGTTCATTAAACACGTCATGTCAATTCGAAACCACGAGAATTTAAACAATCTAAACGTTCATTTCTGAGTTTACTCACATCAAACTGGTACTTCCTCACAGCAGCTTCTGCAGGCAGGGTAACGAATGTGATGAAACCGACGAGAAAAAGGGTCGTTTTGGAAACCAAAAACCCATTGATAGACATTTGAGCTGGGCTAAAACTTCGAAAATCTCGATGCTTGTATGGATATGAGACATGAAGGTTGAAGCATATGAGCTACTTATATAAGCTTTAAAAACAGGGCGAATTATAACAATTTGTTAAGAACAAGAGAATGAAGATGATTAGGAAAAAAAATTGCAAAGGAGTCTTAGATATGTCAAAGCTTGTAAGCAAAATACTGAAAGAGACTTCAGTCGCCATTGACAGGCGTAGAGGTTGAGATTGTGATGCCATGAAGCAAAATATTGAAACAAACGTCCCATATCCGATTTGATCTTAAAATAATTCAAATCTTTGGGATTGAAAGGTACCTACCTACCTAATCCTTCATACAATACCAAGCTTTTCCGCTAAGGAAAAGGCACTTTTTTAACCTCTTATTGTAGCCAAGTGAAAATCAGGTATAATGAAGGGCCTAATTTGTGAATTAATCCATTTTAACATGATTTGTAGATTAAAGAACTATAATCAGAAAGGCTTACTTCCAAGCATTTTGTAGCGGTTCATTGTAAGTCTGAGTTTGCTTATTTAAGGGCACATGTGGTTTGCAGAGAAACTTTGGATTGCTTGTTACCAAACCATTTTCAAAATAGAAATATATATATATGTAAATGGAGGAATATCAAGCTTAAAGTAAAGAAAATGAAAAAATATACATGTAAATGGAGGAATATAATCTGCTGTTTTTTATTAGCAAATATTTCAAGATTATAATTTTTATTGATGGTATGAATATAAAGGTGTGATCTTACCTAATTCATCTTTTTAAGATTGGACAAAAATCTGTGACCAAATGTGATTTGAAGAAGATAGAAAAAATACTGAAAAAAATAATAAACGTTGGATGTGAGTTAATAATCTTCCTTTTCAATCTTGTTCGTGCATATATATATATATATATATATATATATATATATATATATATATTCCGATATCCGATATTAGGGTGCATGTTGTTAATCCTAATACTAATGATTATTGATGGATTAATAGATAGGTAAGTCCGAGTGTACGATCATAAGCTTAACTAGTTACAAAATTAACAATAATCATGTGGCCTAGGTTGCCAAAGCTTAAACCACACTTGTCAGTTGAAATAACCCATTGGCCCCGTAACACCCCAACCCGTATCTGACCCAGATACAAGTCTGAGATGTCACATTGACATTTCAAAACCTTTATTCTTGCAAAATATCAGAATATTTGAACTTATATTAAGAAAATACGATCATATATTGTTGATTTGTGTTTGTTATAAAATTATGAGGTAAAAACGTATTTATGAACAGTAAAATACGGTATGAATAGTATCATGAATAGTAAAAAACAGTACCGTAAACAGTATCCTTCTACAATACACAAATGTTAAAATTTTCCAGATTGTCATAGGGGAACCGATTCCCTGCTACAGGGAACCGATACCCTGCTACAGTACTGCTACAATACTTCCATAAAATACGTATAAACTCTTAAAATTTAAAATGTTCATTTCTATACATTTACCATTTATAAAAAAATACGTTTAAACATTACAAAACTCGATCAGAGCGTTTCTAATACAAATCCTTTTTATTACATACCAACTAAATTCTTTCTAACAAAATACATATAATTCGATATACATTTCTGATCTAATATTCGGTAAGGATAACTGACATGTCTTGTTCCTTTTTACTTCTATTATCGCTTTCCAAACCTACGTGTGAAACAATCACACGCTAAGTCGATGACTTAGTGAGGCATATAAAACATACAATATAACCATATAATATTTCATATAAACAAAATGCATACATGCACATATTCCATCATATTTCTGTTCATATATCAAATCCACACATGTACATATATGATTATCTTCTCCCTTATAATTATCCTATTATTATCATTAATACC